AAACCAGATCTCGTAGTGAGAACTTAACTAGTAGTTAGGCAGCAACTTATTTTTAGTCTTTTTCTTCAAAATATTAATCTTGACCATTTGATAAATTGTGATACTTTGCCGAGAGCATCTTCCCCCAACTCATGATTCCCTTGTTTGCATGTCACATTGATCTAATAGTGGTTCCCACGCCATATGTAGTGATGCCTGATTTCGCTGCTCTTCATTGCACTCATTTGCTGTCATTATGTCCAGTAAAAGAGGAGCTATGATAGTAATAGTGCGAATACCTCAAATATTGGGTGCAAATCCCTGCTGTGTTGTAAACCTGCTTGGATCTGTGCACATGAGAAAGGACATTTTATTGTCACACAGACTTACTTAATCAGCTTTGGATTATTTGGGAGATACAGACACAGCTTATTAGAATTGTGGTTTCTACTGTTTAACAGAACCCCTTTTAGTTTTTTCTTCATTAGGAACACAATCGATATGATCATGGATTGCAGTCTAAATGGCTAATTATGTTGCAGCTGAAGAACGTCCGAGTTTGTGGGCCTCGATATTGGCCTCAGCTGATAAAAATTACACCGGAAGGTACAAACTTGTTCTGAATAATTCACAGTTTTGAGAAAATATCTGTATGATATTTTTATTTCATGCCACTTAAATAGACAAGCCATGGTGGAGATCTGGAGACAAGACTGATCCTGATCCATTCAATGGTGGAGTTCTATATATAAAGCGAAAAGTTGGATCGTGCTCCTACTCAGATGATCCAATTGGATGCCAATCTTTGCTTTCACGGGCCATGCATGAGGTTAATGTTTTGTTACACTTCTGACATGTTTCAGGTCAAGTATATATTGCCATGTAATTCGATTGATTTTCAGGTTTGTGACACTCCATCTACAAGCTGCAGTACTCAACTAAACCGTGCAAGTCATAGTTCATTTAGAGTTGATCAGCTAGTAAGCACATTCTCTGCCAATCCAAGCTTGATAGCTTTTGCAAAACTCTGTTGCGAATCATGGAAGGACAGGCAAGTGCTATATTCTGTTTGATGTTTTTCTTGTTTATTTATACATGCAGTGAATAACACATAGCTGGTTCTGTATACATTCAACTTGGCCGGTTTGTCTTTGTTCTATTTTGTAATGTAACTTCCCATTGCAGATCTAATGGCAATTTTCAAGATTTTTGCTCTCAAGTGCTGTATGAATGTATGAGCAAAGATAGGCCGTCACTTTTACAGGTTTCTTACAGTAACATGTCTCCAGTTTTTTTGACTATTTTTATGCTTTATCGTCTCCTGTGTATTTAGTCATATTTTATATTTCATTTTCAGGTCTATATCAGTTTTTACACAATAGTTGAGTCGATGTGGGAGCATCTCAAGATCGGGCAGTTTCCTTTCTACGACTCTCTTTTCCCTTCCAGCTTGAAGGTTTGTACTTAGTATTCTGTATATGACTTGTTCCTCTTTGTTACCAGGTTAGGCTGGTTATTTTTGGGGTTCTGGAAACTGTTCCAAGATATGTCCAGCCACCGTAAGAGAAACTGGCTTTACATGTTCTGTTATGTTCTTTTTTTTTTACAATGGTGGGGATGGTGGTAGGCCATCAGGGTGAGGTTGCCTTTGCTACAAGCAGACAAATTACAACCACAACACTAGCCATACCCCTAAGCACTAGGCTCTGCCGTTAGTGACGCCTGGAGGCCGTCTGCCCCTGCTGTGTCTCTCTCTGTTGAAGATGGCAGTGTTTCACTGCTTTCAGAGCATCGAGGATACTCCCTTCAGTGACGCCGGGGTTGGGTCAACGGCCGGTCTCGAACTGTTAAGAGGTCATGCCGTTGATCGGATCCAAGAAAGCACCTCCCGCCATGGTTGCTAGAAGATGTCCTGTGGTTTCGAGGGTTTGGTTGCAAAGGACACATGCGGAGGCATGCTGCAGAAGTTCGACCTTTCAACATCTGTCCTGGCAATGCCAGCCATATGAAAAAACTTCACATGGAGTGGTTGCCCGGGTTTTCCGCATCAATTTCCAGGAGGCGGACCAAATTGCCCCCTGGAGTATTGACCGACTGTGCTTCATTTCCAGACTAGGGTGTCAGGCACTGCCTGGATAACCAGTTAATTTCCATCTTCGTGGCATGTGAGACAAGACATATTCCTCCTTTTCATCATAATTGCACATAGATTGCTCATGTCAATATGTTATAGAGATCCCTGTGTAGGCCAGAATTGCCACGAGTGCTAGCTAGGATTTGTAAACTTGGTCCCTCTTGGTTTGTGGCACTGTACTGGTAACTGGCGAATTTACCATATGCCATAGCTATTAGTTTCACATCATCGTCATTTGTGGTCTCTGCTGATTGCCTGTACCTATTAGTCGGGATTTCTTGGTAACGGTGTATCATGTTTTTCCTTTCGAATATGCAGGTTGCCTTGGCCTACAGTGGAGCATTAGTTGATGGCAGAATTTCAAGTGGAGGCATAATACAGGCCACGTTCTTGGAATCCCTCGTAAAGCGTGTGGATAACATCTTTTCGGAATTGCCGAACCTCAAGGCCAACTTTGTCCGTTACTTGGGCACAGGCAAATGGCCGGATGCTCAGAGCGACGCGGTGCTCCTCTCTTGGTATCTCCAGTGGTACAGCATCCCACCTCCCCATGTTGTGGCATCTGCAGTTGAAAAGATAAAGCCCAGTGCTCCCACAGGCGTCTCCATGCTCCCACTGCTTCGTCTCCTGCTGCCAACCACACATCTTGTGGGGTTGATTGAGATTGAGAAGCTTCAGATGATGCCCATGAGGAATACAAAGAAGCATGTCTTATAAAATAAATCGGATGATAGTGATACATACCAAATATGTGATGGTCCAAGGCACCATTGTGCATGAACTTGTAGATTAGAATCCTTTCTTCTCCATGTATGCACCACCCCAGTAACCTTATTACATTGGTATGCGGAAGCCTAGCAAGCTGCAGTTCATTGCTGAAATCAGATAACGTTGCACGGGCATCAAAACAGTATGGTATGTTTCTTTCCAGTGAGAATGTTTTCTAAATACTATTTGAAACCTTTTGATAGGGATAACCTAGCAAGCTTTTTGGCACCTTCCTAATGCGACAAACAAATTCTGAATTGTTGTGGTGTAAAATTTTCTAGACGGGGCACATATATCTGTTCAAGCACAGAAGTAATCTTCTTTAGTCATGAAAAGAATTGTTATTAGGAGGGAACACAACAGATGAAATAGAGCTAGTGGCAGATGCTTGCATACATCAGATCCAATGCTTTTACTACATAAAACAATCCCTTGAATTAATAGTGGCAAAATGCAATGGATAAAAACAATGGGTAAGCCCTTTCTCTTTTGTTAGTATTGGTTCTACTCCTCCTTGCTACTTTGAAGTACTGATAATTCTCCTCCTTGGGCATGTCATTTCCCAGAGGGTTAAAATGGGCACTCTTAATTTCTCTTTTGGAGGAAGCGGGGAAGCTGTAGATGACGCTAAGGCACAGAGGAAGAGCAAGAACTGCAACACCTGTGGATGTTGTCAACGTTTCTCATTGTAATTGAGTTATTTTTTTAATGAAGCTCTGTAGTGTAAATTCAGTTGATGTATCTGACCCTTGTATTTCAGTGGATGTATGGCAATGGATATGTTAATTCAATTCAATTATTTTCTCTACAATGTGGCATCAAATTGATTTGATATTGGCACCAAATTGTACCGAACGAAAATTGCAGCAGTTGCAAAATTCAGACAGCAATTACACGAGCTGTGCATACATCAGATGCACACATCAGATGAAAGAAAACATAGAAAGAGATCTAGTGGCAGATGCTTGCATACATCAGCCTGATCATAACTGTGATCCAATGGTTTTACATAAACCGAGTCCCTTGCATAAATCGTCAATTGTGATCATAATTCACACTAATTCGTGGTCAAATTAAGAATCTCACTTGCATTACTGGAAAACATGCGAGTGAAATTCTCCTACACATTTGCAACTAGATTACATAGTTGACAACTTGTAGCTTACAACTAGACCTTCTTCAAGGATGGTGTAGAGTTTGACAGATGGTTGCAATATGATGCCACCTTTTTCACATTCTTGACTAGTTACTCTTTTCCGAACATGGTTATGTGCATCACCACTCAAACAAAGTATTGTGAAATCAGAGATGAATCCATTGGATCTGTGCCTCTTACACACTTTTCCGACTAGAGCAGCAGAATGCTTTAAGAAGCCACAGAAGCATACAAGAATAAATAGATACGGAAAGATTACTCAAACGCTCTGCAAAATTCAGACCAACAATTCTCTCATTCATATCCAAAATTGATTACAGTATGACTTGATAGTCGGTACATCAAGGACTTGCTTAGCTCAAAACTTCACTCACACATACACAAGAGTTCACCAACCAATGCTACTCGTCAGAAACTGCAACTTTAACTCACCACGACGCCAATGCCTAAGAATCCAAGTCAGCCAAGATTAATTTTACAGGAGAGTCAGCATAGTCTCCAGACGCTAGGCAGCTCACATGATTATTGTGTGCATCGACAAGTTCAATTCTACTCCTTTTTTCCTGCTACAAGCCGGGTAGCAAACGGGCGTTTTGGATTTTGCGGCGAGTGCGTTTTACGCTCTGTCTCGTGCCGGAATTGCAGTACATGAGCTTCCTTTTTAGGCTCATATGCTTTACTTTGATTTATTGAAAATGCCCTTTATTTACTTAAACCCTTACTTAGGACCAGGTGTGGATGTAGTGTAACTATGCCGTACACATCTTAACAAGGTTTTTGCTGCCTAGCTATATGGAGACTCTGCTGACACTCTTGTAAAATTACTAATGACTGAAAGGATTGAAAGAACACTAGAAATCTTGGTGATTAAGTGCAGAACCTAGAGATGCAAAGATTAAATGAAACTCATGTGTGAATGGTTTAGGAAGGACTAGCTTAACTCGGAGGTTCACCCACACGGACTCAAGAAAGGAATTGGTTCCTCTGCTTCCTCTGCTTTGCTTCCTCTGATGCAATTTCTTCCTCTGCTTCGATCACCCGAGCGCTCATCCGTGGATTTGCATCGCTTGAGCAAAGTCCCGTCGACGAGCCATCTCGAGGAGGCGAGCTTGATAACGCCATGCATGCTGTCTTGCTTGGAGCAGCTCCTCGGGGGACTTGGTCACGTCGGAGTGATGGATCCAGGGGTCGTTGAACTGCACGGTGTCCGCCATCTGCTCCATCTTTCGCCGGGCCTCTGCTCTGCTGCGCTCGATCTCCTGCCGACGGCTGGCCTCTTCTTTGGAGGCAGATCGAGCCTTGTCGAGGCGAGCCATTGTGAGGCGAGCTTTCTCGATCAGTTCGCGCATGCTCATCTGCGGCTTCGGTTGCGTCGCGCTCTCCGGAGATTCGGCGACCTGGTTCTTGGTTCTTGGATCCTTGCTGCTGCTGGGACACGGAAGCTTGCTGCTGTCGACCGCGACGTGGAGCTCGCCCCCGGAGCAGGCACCGCGTACGCGCTTCGCCGGCGGCAGTTGGACGTCGCGCACGGATCCGGGGCGCTTTGGCTTCTTGGCAGCCGCGGGGTTGGCCATCAAGGCGGGGTTCACGCGCACGCGGGAGGAGCAGGAGTGGAGGTCGGCAGCGGCGGCGCTACGACGCGGGAGCAGAGACGGCGGAAGCACCGTGGTGCCGGCCATGGTCGCGGCCGCGGAGTCGCGGGAGCAACGATCAAACAACGATCGTGAGAGCAGGGATCCGGCGGCAGAACGGGAGGATGCGGTGGAGAGCGAGGTGAGATAGATCGGGAATCTGGGAGACGCTGGATCTGGAATCGAGGCGAGCAAGAAAGAAGAGACGCGGGAAGCAATTTGAATCCGAGTCGAAGTCGTCCAAGGCAGGCATAGCTAAAACGCGCACTTTGGTTTTTGAATCCGAGTCGGCCCGGGCATGGCTAAAACGCGCACTAATGAATTCCGAGTATAAGATGAATCTTTCCAACTAGCACTAATGGCTTCTGATTACTATGTCTCTCTGCTTCAGTTCAGAGTTCAGAGTTCTATGGCGCACACACACACACAAAGAGGACCACCTTCAGTTCAGAGTTCTTATATTGTACACTACCTGAGCATGGATCTTCAGGTTCATCAAGGTCTTTTTTCAATCCAGAACAGCGTTTATTTGGAGATCCTGATGTGTTTGTAGTGTGTGCAGCTACAGATCTTAACTCTGAGCTCTGTAGTTGCTGCTTGTCAAGTTGAGGATGTCTGTTTATTCTGAAAATTGAACATGGCAACTAAGTGTCAGTTTCGATTTGCCATGTATGATCTCAGAAACCTGAAGATCAAGCTTGCAAAGATTCCAAGGCCCCTATCCCTGGATGCCGTAGAAAACAGGAACAGCAAAACATGAAACATTGCATGTTTGAATTACAATGTAACTGATGGAAAATCAATCTGGTAGTTGGTACTACAGAAACATGTTTATTTTCACTATACAAAACTGCTCTTAATATCTCGAATATATACACTACCTGAGCCGTAAAAAGCCCATAATCCTTGCTTACATTTTTATTGTATATATGCCACTACTGAATATTCTCCATTATATCAAACCTCCGGGTCTAGAATGATTCGAACTCTAGTGGACATTGGAGCTGAACTCGTGCAGCCTTCTGTCCTTCCACATACGCCAGGTCTGAAATATTTTTCAGTGCATTTGATGTTTTTTTTTTTGCGGGGGAGTGCATTTGATGTTAATGGAACTGCAGTGTGAATCCAAATTCATAGATATGGGTTTTAAGTATTAGTGCAAGCCACCAAGTGTTCACTTACATCTCGTACAAGATCACCAACTGTATCCCCTCGGTTGGCATCAAAAGATTCTGAATCGTGCAGCATTATCTGATTTCTTGTGCTGTTGTTGTATCTCGTATGGCTTATTTCAGAACCGTCCCTGCACATATAGATGGAGAAAAGCTCACCGCAAGTAGAACTCGTATCGAAAAGGAAATCCCCACATATAGTTCCCTTTTTTCCTTTGTAAGATCTAATGAGTAGAAGCGCAAATTTCTCCCTGTAATGTATCAAGTTTTCGATGCATTTGGTTGGGTAGTTGATACATTGCATCGGTTGAGTTTTCCTTGCATAAAGCCCTGCTGCCAGTATAAGAAATCTATACCACCTGCTTGTAGCATTGCGTTCATTTTGCTGTGTGCTAAGATCAGAAAAATGGTGAAATGCCTATAACCCTGTTAATCTTCGAGGAAAGATAATCTAACATGACAGGTTGCAGTTTTAGGAATAATGCCTATTGGGGATGATACATAATGAATACTGATGCAATCTTTTTAAGTATGTGCAAGGTGCAACTACAGGTCTTAACTCTTCAACTCTGTGATTGCTGCTTGTCGAGTTGAGTTTGATGGTTCTCAAGTTTTGGTTTGCCATCTATGATGTCAGAAACTTGATTGATCCAGGTGAGATTCTGAGATCACTATTCTGCATGTTGTAGAAAATAAGACCAATCGTTGTTTTCGGATCAAACCACTTGTGATGAAGCAAAGAACACAAATGAAAGAAAGAAAAATGAAATGAAGAATGGGCTTCTTTGTATAGTGACATGGAGAACTACTAGTCCCATACGTCCGCGATGGCTATAGTGAAAAAAAAACTTGTATTCTGAATGTCATGCCGGAAGTTTTGCCTTGAGAATTGGAGACAAATGACTGGTGATGGCCTAATGGAGACAAATGTCATACTATGTTTTTAACTGGTAGTTCGTTTAACTGCTAACGACAAGTGCTATTTAGGGAAGGAAATAACAATATTAACCCTGAAGTTCAGAGCTGCTACAAGCCAGACAACCAGAAACAGGACTGTTTTGTGTCTGCATCATCTTGACACACAAGCCCCTTTATTAGGACGCAAGATGCAAACAAACTAATGGCCTTTACAGAGGAAAAAGAATTGGTCACCCGAGGCCAAGGGTATTACAGAGAAGAGCTAATTTGAAAAGGTCATCAAAACAGTATGATATGTTTCTTTCCGGTGAGAATGTTTTCTAAATACTATTTGAAACCTTTTGATAGGGATAACCTAGCAAGCTTTTTGGCACCTTCTAATGCGACAAACAAATTCTGAATTGTTGTGGTGTAAAATTTTCTAGGCGGGGCACATATATCTGTTCAAGCACAGAAGTAGGAGGGAACACAACAGATGAAATAGAGCTAGTGGCAGATGCTTGCATACATCAGATCCAATGCTTCTACTACATAAAACAACCCCTTGAATTAATTGATCAATTGTGATCATAATGCACACTAATTAATGGCCAAATTCAGAATCTCACTCGCACTACTGGAAAACAAGCCAGTGAAATACTCCTACACACTTGCTGGAAGTTTTGCTGGAAGTTTTGAAGTATTGATAGTGGCAAAATGCAATGGATAAAAACAATGGGTAAGCCCTTTCTCTTTTGTTAGTACTGATAATTCTCCTCCTTGGGCATGTCATTTCCCAGAGTGTTAAAATGGGCACTCTTAATTTCTCTTTCGGAGGAAGCGGAGCTGCGGATGACGCTAAGGCACAGAGGAAGAGCAAGAACTCCAACACGTGTGGATGTTGTCAACGTTTCTCATTGTAATTGAGTTATTTTTTTAATGAAGCTCTGTAGTGTAAATTCAGTTGATGTATCTGACCCTTGTATTTCAGTGGATGTATGGCAATGGATATGTTAATTCAATTCAATTATTTTCTCTACAATGTGGCATGAAATTGGTTTGATATTGGCACAAATTGTACCGAACGAAAATTGCAGCAGTTGCAAAATTCAGACAGCAAGTACACGAGCTGTACATACATCAGACGCACACATCAGATGAAAGAAAACATAGAAAGAGATCTAGTGGCAGATGCTTGCATACATCAGACTGATCATAATTGAGATCCAATGGTTTTACATAAACCGAATCCCTTGCATAAATCGTCAATTGTGATCATAATTCACACTAATTCGTGGTCAAATTAAGAATCTCACTCGCATTACTGGAAAACATGCCAGTGAAATTCTCCTACACATTTGCAACTAGATTACATAGTTGACAACTTGTAGCTTACAACTAGACCTTCTTCAAGGATGGTGTAGAGTTTGACAGATGGCTGCAATATGATGCCACCTTTTTCACATTCTTGACTAGTTACTCTTTTCCGAACATGGTTATGTGCATCACCACTCAAACGAAGTATTGTGAACAGAGATGAATCCATTGGATCTGTGCCTCAGTACACACTTTTCCGGCTATAGCAGCAGAATGCTTTAAGAAGCCACAGAAGCATACAAGAATAAATAGATACGAAAAGATTACTCAAATGCTCTGCAAAATTCAGACCAACAATTCTCTCATTCATATCCAAATTTGATTACAGTATGACTTGATAGTCGGTACATCAAGGACTTGCTTAGCTCAAAGCTTCACTCACACATACACACACGAGTTCACCAACCAATGCTACTCATCAGAAACTGCAACTTTAACTCACCACAATGCCAATGCCTAAGAATCCAAATCAGCCAAGATTAATTTTACAGGAGAGTCAGCATAGTCTCCAGACGCTAGGCAGCTCACATGATTACTGTGTGTACCGACAAGTTCAATTCTACTCCTTTTTTCCTGCTACAAGCCGGGTAGCAAACGGGCGTTTTGGATTTTGCGGCGAGTGCGTTTTACGCTCTGTCTCGTGCCGGAATTGCAGTACATGAGCTTCCTTTTTAGGCTCATCTGCTTTACTTTGATTTATTGAAAATGCCCTTTATTTACTTAAACCCTTACTTAGGACCAGGTGTGGATGTAGTGTAACTATGCCGTACACATCTTAACAAGGTTTTTGCTGCCTAGCTAGATGGAGACTCTGCTGACACTCTTGTAAAATTACTAATGACTGAAAGGGATTGAAAGAACACTAGAAATCTTGGTGATTAAGTGCAGAACCTAGAGATGCAAAGATTAAATGAAACTCATGTGTGAATGGTTTAGGAAGGACTAGCTTAACTGGAAGGTTTCACCCACACGGACTCAAGAAAGGAATTGGTTCCTCTGCTTCCTCTGCTTTGCTTCCTCTGATGCAAGACTACCACCAGCAAGCCTGCACTGCTGATGATTCCTTCCTCTGCTTCGATCACCCGAGCGTTCATCCGTGGATTTGCATCGCTTGAGCAAAGTCCCGTCGACGAGCCATCTCGAGGAGGTGAGCTTGATAACGCCATGCGTGCTGTCTTGCTTGGAGCAGCTCCTCAGGGGACTTGGTCACGTCGGAGTAATGGATCCAGGGGTCGTTGAACTGCACGGTGTCCGCCATCTGCTCCACCTTTCGCCGGGCCTCTGCTCTTCTGCGCTCGATGTCCTGCCGACGTCCGGCCTCTTCTTTGGAGGCAGAGCGAGCCTTGTCAAGGAGAGCCATGGTGATGCGAGCTTTCTCGATCAGTTGGCGCATGCTCATCGGCGGCTTCGATTGCGTCGCGCTCGCCGGAGATTCGGCGACCTGGTTCTTGATGACGGAGGAGTGGAGCGGATCCTTGCCGCTGCTGGGAGACGGAAGCTTGCTGCCGTTCTTGATGTTGGCGGGGAGCGCGACATGGAGCTCGCCCCCGGAGCAGGCACCGCGTACGCGCTTCGCCGGCGGCGGTTGCTCGCCGCGCACGG